GCTCTTGGTCACATGAGCAAGTGGAAAGCGAGATCTCTTTACATTGCTATGAAAATGTAAAAAACGGCAATCGTAAAGTCATAAATAAAAAGTGATATCTGCAACATTTTTCGAATTAACTGCCTACAATAGTATCGTCAGTTGAAACCACCGCTACCACAAATATCTCACTTGAAAAACACTGGAAATAATGCATTAGGCACGAATCAAATCAGAAATAGCAGATAAAGGAATATATACTCTTCTATTAACAAAAGTTACCCTAAATCCTAACCCAAATTCCAAAAAAAACCTAGAAAATTGCCCCCAAAAAAATACGAAATTTTCATATTAAAATAGAGAAAATTTCATTTTAACCCGATTTCATTTTAATCTGTCACAATATTTTATTCGACCTTTTTTCTTCTTTTAGCTTTTAGAAATAGATAATGGGTTGATCATCCGATCAACCATAAGCTCTTTTTAACAAAATTTACATTATTCTGCTCATCCAGCCTATTGTTTCGAACATTATGTACATTATTGTGGTCATTAAGTACGCTATCCTGACCATTCGATAAATGTTTCGTCCACCCTACAAAATAGAATGGTAATTAGTCTAGTTTTTAGTCTAGCTTTTCGTTCATTTGTCATTAAACATATATCCAAACATGTACTCAAAAATTAATGTAAATGGGCCCGTCCTTGAGCCCCAATTAAAGTACAAGTGAAAATTAAATAAAGCTCAAAATAATTAAAGGAGAATTACCTCTTGCTTTTGTCACTTTTGGTTTTGTCGCTTTTACCGGAAAAAAGCTGCGTTTCCTTGTTATTCGTTTAATTGCTTTACCTTCGTAGAAAATCTCGCTTTAGGAAGACTTTGTTTAGTATCATAGCCAATAATTCTCAGAAGCTTAATTGTAAATTTGAATAATAAAAGATAAACTCTTAAGTAGCATAATTCCCTTTGATCCTCTCTAATGATCACCTCCACACTACACAATCGCACTCATCTTTTCCATCAACAGTTATTGGCACAAGACCTTTAGAAACCAAACAAGACCCGATCGCTCCCAGGAAATTCAGTCAAATTCTCTCCAGAATGCTTGCACTATCCTACTTTGAAAACCAATAGATCGGAAAGTCGTAATAATATACAAGGATCTTTTTATAAAGACATATTAGACGTGTACTATGAATCTAAATATTTCGCGTCAGTATACAATCAAAGCTCTATTTTTATCACCGGTACCAAATCGAACACATGATTTGTAAAATCGAGCTTATAATCAAATATTATCTAAACGAAAAAAAGCATTTTAGAATAGTGCAATTAGTGTTACCAAACATATAATTCCCTAATTTCGTAACATTTATAATCTTTTTAAAAACGATATTTTTAACCAAAAATATCCATGACAATTATATCGCATAGCATTCCTATCATTATACATGTACATGTACATGTACATTGTTACGTGTACATGAACATTAATACTCGTGAAATTTCCTTCTAGTATATTTCCATTATACAATTGCAAATTTTCTCTTGTAATTTCTCATGTATATGACACTGCATGTTCTGTAGTAAATATGAGAATTGTGGATAATTAGATTAGGGCAAGAAGAAAAATGTGTAAAAGGAGAGTCTCCCTCACGAAGAATGACATGTTTAATCAAATAAATAAAAATAATACTTACCTTTTACTTATTATTTCTTTCCTTTGGTTGAATTCAAAGCTTGACTTTGGTACAAGTAGTGAAGGAACCTCACTATAAATAATCCACACGTCGAATTTCTATTGTTTTGTTGGCAAAGACTAAATCTAACCGTTGTTATTTTTGTTGACAGAAACTAAATCCAATTTTTGCTATTGAACGCGTTAATTTTTGGTTAGCTGAAACCATAATTAAATCATTATTACCGGGCTGCGTCAAGAAGTCCTGTCGTTTGTCTTTGTTGTTGGTCACCAGAAACCCTCGTGAGAATTGATTTAGAATTTTCATTTTCATTGTACAAGTCGCCACAAGAAACCTCTAGAACAATAAAGAACTTCTTTTAATTGTAATTTACTAATTAATTATAGTTACGCCATTTTAAAGTAAGGCGCAACAGCAATCAACCATCAAACAGCTTTGAGCTCGTCCACGGTTCTTGGGAAGCTTTCGTGCTTTTGGATATTTTTCTTTAGATTTTTCGTCCAAACAAATGGAGAATATTTTAATCCATTGAATGACGTGATACTGTTACCGTAACAACATTAAATTGCTTAATTCCTTAACGGTAAGAGATATCGCCGCCATTTTTCGTCATTAACGTAAATAATAACGGCAATACGCTCCAGAACATTGTAGTAATAATTAATATCGAATAATAAAATAATTCGTGACCAACAATTGAGCATCTGACCTCAAATGACGATATTGATATAAAAAAAACGAATTTGATAATATTATATTTAAATTTTCATAATATATTTTTGGATCAGATATCCGAGGGATTTATTGGAGTTACGCTACATCACACCAACTAATGTCCAACACTAATTCATGAATTTATCTATGCCCCTTGTAAATTTTATTTGTTATGACTATCCCATTTCTTGAGAAACATACATTTCTGATCGTGTTGCTTTCCTGTATTGATGTATCTTGCGATTCATATGTACCCAATATTCTTTTGTTGATATCGTATTGTGCTTGATTTTATTCTTCAGAAACTATAATGTAAAAATAAATTAGTGTAGAGATATAGTTAGTATTAATCAAGTTGTATATAAAGGCTGATGTTCAGCCTTTAATATCATGCTCTAATCAAATAAATAAAAATTAATCTTTTTACCTGTAAACTCCGTTACTTGTAAATAACCGATTTTTCTTTTATTTTGGTTATCTTCAAACCTTGCGTACAAGTAGCGAACGATCTTCATTCAAAATATTCAATAATCCAACCTTGATTTGTTAGCAGAAACTAAGTCCAAACTTCGATTTTGAACATGGCAGTTTTTGGTTAGATGAAAATCATCTGGGTCGTTGTTCCCGAAGTAACCTTTGTGACGCGCGTTATTGTGTTGTAGGTGATCTGAAACCTTCTCGAAACTCATTTGTAGTCTGGTGTAGACTCATATGATCAGAAACCTCCTTAGTGCCCCATGAAAATATAAGAAATTAAAATTTGTAGAGGTTGATTTGCGTACAAATCACCGTAGGAAACTTTAGAACAATAAAGAAACTCTATTATTGTAAAACATTCAGTCTTGTGCTTATCTTTACTTTGCTGCACTTGCCCTCTAAATCCACTAATTCCGGAAGTGCGCAACAATACATTTAGTGGCAGTGACCTATATTACCACTTATTGTAAATACATAAAATATAATAAAATATCTCAATAAGAAAGTATGAGGTGATATATGTCAGTGTCCTAACTACAACTATAAATATGATTTGACATCATCATTCAATAATTTACTGACAACAAACTCTCGAATTGTCAAACTCTCTATGATTAATTTTTCATCCTGTTTATTACGTGATGTTAAAAATCCATAATTAGCTTAGTATCATAGCAAACTTTTTCTTTTCCGCACGTGTGAACAATGTGTTATAATTATAATAATAAGAATAAAGTCGGTCGACACTTGTTTCCTTTGGTATTTTATGGGGCGAAATTTCACATTCGTTAATTTTAAGACCCCGTATAATTTATGAATGATGAGAATATATTGGAAATTTAACATTATCGTTATGCATCGTTATATCATATTATCGCAATTTTCCACTAGACATCTTTGATTACGTCAAAGGCCGTTTGTTGCACTAAGTATAATAATATTCTTTTTGATCCAAAATTAGAAAAGTACCAGTATTGAATTTTTTTTTGTTTGACGGCGCTTCTGCATATTGTAACACAATTCGGGATGATCACAATAAACAAAGGAAGATTTGTATCATTACAAGAGGCACGTTTTAAAATACTGTGCGACCAAAATTTACTACAAAAATGTGTTGTACAACGAAAAAGATTTGGGTCTAAACATAACACACACAAATAAATTACACGTGTATACCCATTCGAAAATATCATCAAATTGAAAACGCGAATTTTCTGAAAAATGTCAAATAAAAAACTTATAATCAAAAATAGAATGTCACTTTGTATCATCAGAAGGGATAAAGAACGTGAGAATCTTAAGCACGAACAAATTAAAGATCACAATTCTTATCGCCACAACTTCATGCATAACTTATACTGTATGTACATGCATAAATAAACCTAAAAACGGGAAAAACGATGATTGACACTGGACGCCTGCTTCTATAAAAATTCCCTTTTCCTGCCTCTTCTATGTGTGTACAAAACAGTGTGAACCAAAATCCCATTCTATCAAATGACGACACCTGATGATAATAATGCCCAATCAAACATTAGTACCAATTAAGAAAATAAATAGGCTAGAGTTTTAATTGATCAGTAAGTATAGTGATCCTTATTGCAATAACAGTCATTTCAGCTTGATTGTAAAATATTTGTATACACAGTTCGATTACATGTTGGCTGTAGATTAATGTTGAAAATAAAATAAAGGATGAAGCATCCATCACTAACACTAAGTTTGAAACTCGAAAAGTCTTGTTTCAAAAAAAGATTTCAACAATAAAATAATCGAGTATAAAATTTTATTTTAATTATTTTTCTATTATCAATATTAATATCAATACCGATATTTACGTTTTTGTATTCAATCAAAGCAAACTGATCTCCGAATTCACAAAATTGAGCTCCAATTATTTATCATGCTAAAATATATCTTTTGTAGATTTACTTATAGTCGAACTCCATATAAGAACACAGTTGGGACACCTAAATTATGTTCTATTATAAGGTGTTCTAGTATAGAGGTCTACAATATTAATGTATATAATTAATTGGTTTTATAAAAAAAGTTTTACAAGAGGTTGTTCCTTTTTAGTGTTCTTTTATGGAGGTTTGACTGTAATCGTAATGGTGTAATGCATGTACATGTACCGTAAAATACCGCTTAGAATACCCAGGTACATTACAACTGGCAAGCAAAAAAGATGCATTTTACCGGGGGGTACATTGTCAAGAGGAGGGTATCTTACATTGGGGGGGGGGGTATTACACGGGGGTCTTCTGATCGCGGGATCGCCAAATAACGAAAACAAATTTACTAGAGATGAAAATGAATACAAATATAATAGAATGAAGAGAATTATAAAAATATTAGTGAGTCTTTTGATTTAGCTGATTTAACAAATAGAGTTGAACTAGATGAAAATAATAGTGATAATTATTATGAGCAGGAGTCTATTAATTATACAAAATATATGGAGTTAACTTTTTTTCGTCCAGTTAATATTGATCAAATGACAAAGTACATGTAATTGACTTTTTATCAAAAAATTCATGTGACAATCAGTTAGAGATATATTAGATAGTACATGTTAGAGCAGTGTATATGACCTCTATGACCTGTCATAGATCATTTGGTCATAATAAATATTAATATGACTTATGACCTTTTCATATAGTGAATTTGATAGTAAAAAATTTTTTTACTATTATTGAAAATGACCCAATATGACTTATGACCAAAAAATCATATGATTATATGAGCAAGTCATATATATATAAAAAATGTTATGACTTAGGTCATTGTCCAACACTGTGTTAGAAAAAAAGAAACTACATTTAAAATTATTACAGACCCGGCTCTATTATATTTTACCAATGCTAAACTGTTATATACAGTGTGGGACAAAAAAAACCGGAAGAATTTTTTACATGTAATTCAAACAAGTGTAACTCGCTCAATTTGTATCAGATTTTCGATCAGAAATAAACAAATCGAACGTTACATCTGTGGCTTTCTTTCAGTTTGTTTCAGGCTCACTAACGTATTTCGTCTGTCTTTAGAAAAAGGCTAGCAAAATGTCGGCATCTAGAAAGCGAAGTCAACGGGAAGCTTTGACATACCACTGGAACCAAGGTATACATAATGCCAGTGTTTTACATACTCTGACGAATATTTCTTACTCTACTATATACGATAATATAAAGAAACTGAGGGAAACAGGAACTACAACTCATTCTAAATGCAACGGACGGCAAAAGAAAATTTCCGCGACAATTTCTTTGGTTTATTTGCGAGGATCCTACCATATCAACTAGAACTTTAGCGATAAAACTAGCAAATATGGGACATGAAATATCATATAAAACAATAGGAAGACATTTAGCTAGCGAAGGGTACAAAAAAAGTCTTCCTCTACAGACTCCAATGCTTACCGCCGAACACAAGAGAAAACGCGTTGAGTGGGCCCATTCTCACCTTAATGACAATTGGGATCGGACTTTTTTTACGGATGAAACGGCTTTCCAGCTTTTTCGGAACACGTTGGAGCGCTGGTATAAAGGTTCACGGCCAGTTCGTCGAATTCCGAAAGATCGTTCAAAAATCAACGCATGGGGGGGTTTCTGTAGAAAGGGAAAAGTGAATTTGTATCATTTTCGGGGAATAATGAACGCAGAATTTTATGTTGGAATTCTTACCTAACGTATCCCAGAAGTCCGAAAAATACTTGGTAGCCGATACCGATGGCTTCAAGATAATGACCCTAAACACACTAGTCATCGCGCAAAAGATTTTTTAGCAGAAAACGTTTTCGAAGTCATGGACTGGCCGTCGAACAGTCCTGACGTAAACCCTATCGAAAATTTGTGGTGTATTGTAAAGAGAAATGTCGAAAGGCGTGAACCTAAAAATTTGACGGATTTAGAGAATTTTTTGGTGGAGGAGTGGAATAAAATTGATAATGATCTTTTGGTTCGTCTAGTGGGTTCTATGAGGCGGCGCTGTGAATTACTAATAGAAAATGATGGCGAACGAATAGCTTATTAATTTTTTTTTGATTTTTAATTAATAAAGTTAAAATACTGATCTATCAATAGTCCGAGTTTCACATGATTTCGTGCAGTAGTTTCCCGGCAATTGAGTGATTTCGGATTCCGGTTTTTTTTGTCCCACACTGTATATATCCGGGTACATAATATAGAGGGTCTTGTACTATAGGGGTATTATAAGCGGTATTTTACGGTATATAATTGTTACCATGGTAACTTGGTCCCGTCGAATTCCGTTGCCCAACTACATGTTCCAACTAACCTTTTGTAATCATATTCAACTGACGTTAACATTAGGCTTTTATAGTTAAAAACTCTTAATGATAGATTTCTTTCATTAAACTATAAACACTCTAATAGTTGTAAATGGCGGTGACATTTTCATGCATATTTTATGCAATGCAGCTCTGTTAAAATCGAATCGGATCATGAATTAAAACTTTGATTAATTAGGTAATTGGCTAACTTTTTTCTTTATTCTACATTTACTAAATCGCACTTGTTTATGGCGCGTAGCTCTGTGAAATCGAATCTTTGATAATAAAATTTTCGGTCTGTTATCGCTTACTTAAAGAAACAGACTTCTGTACGTTTAGGCTGAGTTCACTTTAAAGATAATCTAAAACAATTTCTCACAATTTAATTCATATAACCGAGTAATCTAAATGGCATTTTTTTCCATCAGGTTCCAACCCTTATTTAAATCTAAGAATATACAAAATCAGTGAATTTAAATTCAATGAGAAGTGGCAAATTCATGTAAAGGATCTTCCAACCGTAAACAATGAGCTACAGGATCTGTCAACTATGCAATAACTCACAGGATCCCTCAACTGTGAGACATAGCAAAATACATAAGAAAATTTTCACATACTCGCCGTAAAAATGATAATGATTAAATATAAAATTAACATGTTAATAATCATATATTTTCTATCTTTGCTATTTGCTGCCATCACTGTTCATATATTCGTCATTGTTGCAGGTGTTCTTCATGTTGTCGTCACAGTTGTTCTGTTTTGTCCTTCATATCGTTGCCGCTATAGTTCACGCTGTTGTTATTGCAACCGTTCTTCATTTGCTTTTGCTACTGTTCTAATCGTTCTTTATGTTGCCGTTGCTGTTGATGTTCTAATTGTTGCAGCAATTGTAATTCAGATTTTCGCCGTTGCGATGATGTTCAAGAATGTGATCGAGTTGGTGATGGTGCTATGCGTGAAGGGAATTGAAAAATGATAGTGTTATTTACTTCCGAAGTCTAAACAAAGAAAATTATATAAAAAAATAATTATGTAAATGAAAATTACCATTAAACATTATCAAGAGAAGGGCATTTCCCTTCCCTTATATACACATGTATACGCGTTTTTTTGATCTGTTATTTTTTTTTTGAAAATTTTAAAGTCATAATATGATCAAAAAGAACCAGCCAAAGACAGCCATTTCTTATAATGCATGCCTAACAAGTTCTTTTGTTTTAGAACTTTTGGTTTTCAAGGTAAATTATTCAAGTATTTATTATTATAAATACTCAATTGACCATAACCCTGCACTCTTATTTTAGCATTATTTGCGCGAAGAAATACATCAACAATATCTTCTGAACTACCTCCATGCTTGATTAAAAATTGGTTCGATAATATGTTTATTTCATTTATTGCATCCATTTGCTGTGCTTAGCAAGGTGTGGAACAAAACCTTGTGTTGTAAGGATGTTAGCATATGGTTTTCAACGGTTTTTTTTTCTACAGTAAATCATAGAATAAATGAATGTTGGTCCCTTAATTACATGTAAATTAAGTCACTGTTGATTGATCGAAAAAAATTACATGTACAGTCAACGATTACATGTATCTCGATTATTTTACTATTAAGAAATTAGCATTTTTATAAAGTGATCTTTTTCAGAAGACAATTAAGTTAATACACACGTTAGCTAGAATGCTCTAAATAACCATCTTTTTCTAAAAAACCTAATATTATTTTTTTTGATCGCAAATTTAGAACTAACCTCCTCGTGGTACGATCTGGATATCATTGAATTAATAACTAATAAGTTCCAATATCTAAAACCCGAATGACAAAATCATTCATTCGTTAATCCCAGGAGCAAATCGTAAGAGTAAATACCTAAAGATGAAGCAATCATGTCATGTACTTACGTACTATTGAATTTAGATAAAGGAGAGAACTTACGATGTTCAATATCCCGATAACTATATCCAAACAATTGTATATGTATTTTATTTGCTGCAAATACGTTCTTTTCCGTTTTAGGTTGAATGAATCGAATCCCGGATGCTTTATGCGGGATGACGTTACGTAATGATGGCTATGTACACTCACTGGACAAAAGTTTGGAATCAGGGGTGAGTTACATCGTTATTTGTGCAACACACAGACTCTTTAGAAGCTAAAATCTTAAAGCTTTAAAACGATATAAAAAATGGCAAACTCAACCAATACTCGCAGAAATTGCCAACTTACGGATTTTGAGCGCGGCGAGATAGTCGGCGCTTTAAAGTGTGGTTTTTCCGAACAAAAAATAGGAGAAACTCTAGGACGACCCAAATCTACAGTTCATAACGTCATACAAAAATATAAAGAGTTTGGCCAAACCACAGTTGCTGCCCGAAGCAGTAGACCACCAATATTAAATGAAAGATACCCGAAGAATAATCAACATTGTAAAAGATAACCGGCAACAATCAGTTGATGAAATTACTGAAAAATTCAATACTGGTTTGGAAATTTCGGTTAGTTCTAAAACTATACATCGTAATCTTCACGAAAGTGGGTTTTTTGGTTGGGCTGGTTTAAGAAAACCTTTCATATCTGAGGAAAATCATTGTAAACGATTAAAATGGTGTCTAGAATGAAAAGATTGGGTTCATGAATGGGAATTAGTAATTTGGTATGATGAATCAAGGTATTAAATATTCAGAAATGATTCACGGCAATGGGTTTGGCATCGACCTCATGAAAAATATGACGTTGATTGTCTTCTTCCTAGTATGAAATCGGTAATCGAGGAGTAATGGTATGGGGACGCTTTACCCGAAATGCATTCGGACCATTAATCGAAGTTGACGGTCAATAACTGGCCAAAAATATGTAGAATTGCTTGAACAGCATCTTTGCCCATTTTTAGATGAACGATTAGCTAGTTCTGTTCATCTTTTTTAAGATGATAATGCGCCGGTTCACAGAAGTTGATGAATGGAGAGAGAAATCTAATAGCTTCACTTCCATGGCCTGCCCGGAGTCCTGATTTAAATCCAATTGAGCATTTATGGGATGTTTTGGAAAGACGAATTCGTGCACGCCAACACATCCCAAAAATCCAGAAGAATTTATGGATGCACTCGTGGAGGAATGGAATGAAATCTGACCGGAAATTTTAAAAAATTTAGTTGAAAGTATGCCGAGGAGAGTGCAAGCTGTAATTGATGAAATGGGTATCCAATCCGATATTAAATATATCCCTACTTTTGCTGAATAAAATGAGATATTTTTTATCATAATTTATTTAAAGAAATATTAATTAAAAGTCATATCAAAATTCGTGACCTACACGCTACATTGCTGATCATTTCCCGATTCCAAACTTTTGTCCCAGTGAGTGTACTCACATTAAACCAAAATATTTACACACACGAGTTTGTCACACATTAGAATTTGAATCACTACATGAATCCCGTAACTGTATAACGACAACGATTATCTTTTGTTCTACTATCATTTCACCAATTCACCCATTTTATTTCATTGAGCTCGAAGATGGAATCAAATACTCATGATGAAGAAAAAGCATTAGAGTGGCACTTGAAATCAGCAAAGGGCGGAAATACATCAGGACAATATAATCTTGGTCGATGTTATGATGAAGGAATCGGAACACAAAAAGATGAGAAAAAAGCATTTGAGTGGTGCTTGAAATCAGCAGAAGGTGGAAATGCAATGGGACAAAATAATCTCGGTTTGTGTTATCAACATGGAATCGGAACACAAAAAGATGAGAGAAAAGCATTTGAGTGGTACTTGAAATCAGCAGAAGGTGGAAATGCAATG